CATGCTTTCACTGCTGAGGGCCCAGGTTCAATCCCTGGGTCAGGGAACTAACATCCTGCAAGTCTCATTGTCAAAAAAAAAAAAAAAAAGATGTACACTGTAAACTCTAGAACAACTACTAAAAGAGAAGGGAAAGAAGAAAAGTGTAACTAATAATCCAATAATGAAGATAAAATGTAATCACAAAAAGTACTCAATTAAAAAGGCAAGAAAAAATAATGGAGCAAAACAATGACACAAATATAGAAGATAACAGATTTAAATCCAATCGTATTTATAATTAATAATATTAAACGTAAATGGACAAACGCTTCAGTTAAATGGTAGAGACCGTCAGAATGGATTTTTCCTTTTTCACCATGCCATGCAGCTTGCAAGATCTATTCCCCAACCAGGGGCTTGAACCCCAGCCCTCAGCAGTGAAAGCATGGAGTCCTAACCACTGGTTCACCAGAGAATTATCAGGTTGCATTTTTTCTAAAAATGCTATATACAAGAAACATTTTATATACAAATACATGAATCCATTAAGAATAAAAGGATGAAAAAAGATATACAATGCAAGTATTAATCATAAAAAAAGCTGCATGGCTACATTAATATCAAAGAAACAAAATTTCAGAACAAGAAATATTACCAGGGATAAAAGGAGACATCTTACAATAACAGAGGTGTCAATTCATTAAAAGGACCTAATTCTAAATGTGTAAACACCTAATAACAGAGTTTCCAAATGTTTGAAGCAAAAACTAAAGGAAAATAGACAGAACCACAATTTTATAGCTGGAGATTCCAATATTCCTCTCTCAATAACTGGTAAGAGATATAAAATCAGTAAGGATATAGAACATAAAAAAAAGGATACAAACACTACTAACCAATGTAACCTAATTGACATTTAGAGAGTATTTCACCCCAAAATGGCAGAGTATACATCTTTTTTCAAATGCATATGGAACACTCCAAAGACAGTCAATATGCTAACTTATGAAAGGTCTGGAATCATGAAAATGTCCTTTGTTCCGTAACAGCATTGAACTAGAAATCAGTAACAGAGATATCACAACAATCCCCAAATAGTTAGAAATTAAACAAATACTTCAGAATAATCCATAGGTAAAAGAAGAAATCATAAAGAATTTGGAAAGTAACTTATACTGCATGGAAACAAAAATACAACAAAATCTGTAAGATTCAGTTAGAGAAATAGAGGGAAATGTATAGCATTGAATGGTTGTGTTAGAAAACAATAAAAAAAAAAAAATCAAATCCAAGTTTCTATCTTAAGAAACCAGAAAAAGAAAAGCAAATTTTCCCCCAGGAAAGAAAACAATGGGGCAAAAAGAAAAAAAAAATAAAGAAAACAGAAAAACAACAGAGAAAAATCAATGAAGTTAAAAGCTAGAAAATATCAACAAAACTGATGATCTTTTAGAAAGACTGATCGGGGTTAAAAAAAAAAGACAAATTAACAGTACCAGCGAAATGAGTGAGAACATCACTACAGATTCTATGGATATTAAAAAATACAAGGCTTCCCAGGTGGCACTAGTGGTAAAAAATTCATTTGCCAATGCAGGAGACGTAAGAGACTCAGGTTTGATCCTGGGTTGGGAAGATCTGGAGAAGGAAATGGCAACCCACTCCTGTATTCCTGCCTGGAGAATCCCATGGACAGAGGAGTCTGGTGGGCTATGGTACATTGGGCTGCAAAGAGTCGGACACGACTGAGCATCTGAGCCCAAGGGAATACTATAAACAAGTTTATGCCTCTAAATTCAACAACTTAGATAAAATAAACAAATTACTTGAAAGACAAACTACCATGCTCCTTCAAGAAGAAATAGATAACCTAAATTGCCTTATCCCTGTTAAACAACTGAAAATATAGTTAAAAACCTTCCAACAACAACAACAAAAAAACCTTCCAACAAAGAAAACTCTAGGCCCAGATGGCTTCACTAGTGAATGCTATGAAAAATTTAAGAAAAAAATAGTATTAACTCTGCACAAATTATTCCAGAAAATTCAAGTAGAGGGACCACTTCCCTGATACCAAAACCAAAGACATTACAAAAAAAGGAAATAAGATATTTTTAAGTGGGCATCATCTGGTACAAGATGACTAAACCAGAATATGATCTAATAAGTAAAATATAACAGATTCTAGGGTAGAACATTTATATAAAAATATAAGTAAAAGAATAGGTGTGTATGATAGTGTCTACACACATATAAAGATGCCCCATATGGGGATTTCAGGTAATAATTATTTTATTCTTTATATATATATTTTTTTTCTGTATTGCTTGACTTTCTTACAATGAGCACAGGTAATTTTTACAATGAGAATAATCATTTTGAAAATTTAACACATGTCCCTTTGCCAAGGGCCTGAAAGATACTAAGATCAGAACGAAGGTCAGATGACTAAAGAAAAGATAAAATGAGGCACTGCTGCTCCCTCCCTCAGTGGTCTCAAATCAACTTTCTGCTGTTGGTTTCTGGGAGTAAAAACAGACAGTTCTCCAGACCATCAAACCTTTCTTCTGCTACAACCTGTCTCCCTGTGAGTCACACAGTTTAAATGCACAAACCAATCTCCACAAGTGTGAGGAAGCTTCACTTAAACGCACATCGTAAGGAAGGGTGATAAAACCAAAAGCACCTTCACCCTAACACAAGTTCAAAGCAGTTATCATTCCTTTTTCAGTCAGGAAGCTCTTCCCCTAGAACACTCTGAGGCTATTTCTTAAATTTCTCTATTCTCACATCCTGGCTGCTGGGGGGCGGTGGGGCAGCGGTGGTGAACAAAGCTCTTCCTGTCTGAGCTCTGGGTTCTGACTTCAACTTCAAGTTCCACTTCCTGGTGGTCATCTGTCTCACCAGCTGGACAGAAAGCCATTCTTCGGGCTCTAGGCACTTATTTTCTTGAATAATCTCATAGCTTGAATCCTAATCTCACAAATCTGTCTAACCTGGCCTTTTCTGATGAGCTGCTCTCCAAAGCGTCCATTTAAAAGAACTCATCCTAGGTTTAGCTATGGCCTCTAAACCAGAGGTAGAAAAACAGAGAGCTAATGAAGAATCCAGTTCACATATGTGTTTTGTTTAGCTACAGAGCATGTTCAATTTCATTTGGTTCCCCAAATTAAAAATCAGGATATTTTAAATTAAAACCCTTGTGTCCTATTGGTAGGAATGTAAAATGGCACAGCCTCTATGGAAAACAATATGGTGGTTCCTCAAAAAATTAACAATAGAGTTACAATGTGATCCACTCTGGGTACAGAACCAAAAGAACTGAAAGCATGAACTCGAAGAGATATTTGTGCAACCCTGTTCATAGCAGCATTATTCACAAAGGCCAAAAGGTGGAAGCAACCCAAATGTCCATCAAGAGATGAATGGGTAAAAAAAAATGTGGTGTATACAATACATACAGAGGAATATTATTTAACCTTAAAAAGGAAGGAAATTCAGATACATGCTGCAACATGGATGCACCTTGAGGACATGATGCTAAGTGAAATAAGCCTGTCAAAAAAGGACAGGTACTGTCTGATTCCACTTGTATGAGACAGTCAGTCAAAATCAGAGACAGAAAGCAGAATGCGGTTGCCAGGGTCTGGAGGGAAGGAGGAATGGGGAGTGTGTGTTAATGTTTACAGAGTTTCAGTTCTGCAAGACAAAAAAGTTCTGGAGACTGGTTATGCAAGAACATAAATGTACTCAATGCCACTGAACTGGACACTTAAAAAATGGTTAAGATGGTAAACTTTATGTGTTTCACTACAATGTTTAAAAATCCGAACATTTCAGACTTCATTTGAAAAACTCAGATCTGATACCACAGGACCTCGATTCTCACCTGTCAACCATCTCCAATTTATCACTGACCAGCATCCTGCATCACTCCTACATCACTCTTTTATCTGTCTGGCTTCTTTAGGTATGTGAATCCGCAGCTCCTGCTCTAAACCCAGAGTGCCACCTTTCACAGTATAGCCCTCCAACCTCAGTGCCCTGCTGGGCAAGGTGAGAGTGTTCTCTCTGGCGGAGGAGCCAACACTCTCAACCCGAGTGACTGATGGCAAACACTAGCACAGTTAAGACCATCCCTAAACAGCTCTTTGCCAAACCTTGCCCCAAACACGCTCTGCCTTTCCTCCTTTTCTCTCCATGTACCTAAATATTGTTCTTCCTCACATCTCACTCATCCATGAAACCTTTCCTATCGACTCTTAATTCCCAGAGATTCTTCCTTCTCTCATTTCTGTAGCATTTAGCATCTTTATTGCTGTACAGTCAGTGATCTTATAGGTATGCATCTGACTTGCCCAGTTATCCCTCAAGGCCCTCATTCATTCAGCAAACACAAAGCAGCTACTATAAGTACTGGGGATATGGTGGTAAGTTAGAAAGACAAGGTCCCCGTGATCATGGAGTTTACTTTCCAGTGGGCAAAGACATACAAATAAGTAAAACATTTCAGATATTGATAAACATTGTGGGGGGGAAGTGATGGAGGATAATAATGAGGTAGAGAGTCATTAGTGATTAAGCACAGCGGTGAGTAATAAGCCTTGTTGAAGAAGTATATTGAGCTGAGACCAGAATGATAAGAGGGAGCCAGCCATGAGAAAAACCACAGGAAAGAGCACCCCAGTCAAAGGGAACAGCAAGTCCAAAGACCCAGTTTCAGGAACAGAAGTATCTAGTATGGCTAAAGCATAGGCAATGAGGAAGACAACAGCACAAGATTAGGTCAAGGAGGTAAGAAGGGGCTTAGATCCTGTAAGTGACTTACGAGGATGATTAGTGTATCATACTTGCTAATATTTTAAGGGCAGGCATTCAATAAAGAGTTGAGTACCATCACCATTGTTTGAAAATACCCACAGTTACTTTTGATCCCAATTATCTTGTTACTAGATGACTTTTCATCCCTTCAGCAAACATCTCTTCAGTACTATTGTCTGGCACAGGGTACTGCTCACCCCTTTAATGAAGGTAGGTTTGTCCTTTATGCCAAAGTTCCAGAGCAAGATATCTCCCCCTTTGGAGCCCACAGCCAGGGTGGTGGGGTGAGTTGGGTGCCATGCCAGGGATGTGGCCCTCCTGTCAAAAGGGGCAGCCTTTTGGAATATCCGGTAAGAAGCCAGAGAGTTCAAAAAGGACTGCTGGAGACCCTAATACAGAGAGAAAACAATTAAGTTGAATTAAAACACAAGGGTAAATTGCCTATCTCTGATTCCTCCATAGATGAGGCCTGGGGCCAAGTTCTCCCACTAAAGGAAAACTGACTGCCTGGCTCTGTGCATAAAAAGATTTGCAATACACATAATCTAACCGCAGAAATCAAGGAGTCAGAGTGCACTCCTGCTGGGACCCCTACAGCATAGGACTTCTACCTTGCCGAGAGCCCCGTAAGCCAGTCACCAAGGTGGGGGTGATCTGACCACTCTGACAACCTGGTGAACCAACCCAGCATCTAATTTTGGAGCATCCAGTGGTTTAAAAAGGCATCATACAAATCCCTGAAATCTTCAGCCAGGAAACGCCTCACCTGCTGCAGTGATGGCCAGGCAGCTCTGCCCAGCTTATGCTGGTGGAGGGCCCTGACGATGCTGCTGCATAGCGGCGGGACCCGCAGGCTACTCAACCCCGCCCAAAGGCAGCCTGAGTCAAATCTTCTGCTAGAACCTGCCAAGCAGAACAGACACATATTTTCCGCTCCAATCTCACGCAGGAAAGATTTTTCTGCCGAATATGCCAGAAAGAAAGCCCTATTGCTTCTTTTGGCAGAGACAATCTCTCCTATCACCTCCTAAGATCTTTTCACGTTCTGCTCAGTCTCACCCAGCACAACAAATAAATAGTGACCAGGGATTCAACCTCTTCCAAAAAACATTCCCCAAAACAGTAATTCTGAAGTGAAACTGTGATCTTGCAGGGTTCCTGAGAACTGAGCCCAAGAAACACACAAGAACTGCAGAACTCTTCTCAGTTTTGGGTGGAAAACTTGTGATAGGGTTGAGTGACAATTTAAAACTCATATACAAAGCACAATAAAAAGATTTTAAGAAAACACAGTGGAAGTGACTAAGAAAAGCAGTTTTTTTTTAAAATCCTGTATTACAATAATGTAGACGTGACCAGCTGTGGGCCCCAAGCCCAATCTGTTCTCCTGAAAACCAGCCGGATCCACGGGATCTGGCATGGCGCTAAATTCACTAGGCTACTTTTGGGGAGGCAGATCCACCTAGAATAGGAATAAAGCAACTCCGGATTACTAACCTGTATTTGAGGACCTGATCTCTATAAATCCTGCCTCTGGACAACCCATTCTTTCTTCTCATGAACAAAAAAAAAACACTTCATCGACAACCCGTCTTTGAGTTCCCTACATTCCTTACAGACCCAGGTTTTAGCCCCAAGAAACCCCTAAGAGTGAGTTTTCAAAGGAAAGAAGGAAGAAAATTGAGGGTTCCCGCAGTTAGACCAAGGACAGATAGCTAACAATCATGACTATCGAAATTAAGCACACACACCACCACGCAAGGTAGGATTATCTTATGCAGGTCTCTGTGTAAAAATTCCGATACAAATAAGGAATTGGAAAAGTCGGTTGTGTCTGTTGTAAGGGAGGTCATCTGCCTCATCCCGTCACCTGAGGGAGGTTAAGCCCAAGCTCTGAGGGTGTCAAAGGACCTGCAGACAAAATGCATAGCCTGAGGCGCCCACAATCTGGGCCAGCCTCAGAACCTCTGCGCACCCATCCCCCACTCCAGCCTTCTGCGGGAGAACCCCAAACTGCGGAATTAATTAAAGCAGCAGGCACAGGCAGTACCGGGGCCCTTCACACAGAGCTTCTTGGCCTCGGGCTCCGGCTCCCGTGGGCTTCTGTTCCTCTTGCTCTTGGGGCGCACGACCACCTCAGGGGTCTTCTGGGTTTCTGGGCGTTTCCTGGGAGCCATGGCGTCCTCCGTGCGAAGGGGTACTATGCCCTATGCCGAGGAAGAATTAAGAAGCCTCTGGGGAGAACAAGGCGGGGACGAGGAAAACCGCTCAGCCACAGGTAGGCCAACTAAGCCAACTTCCCGCCAAACAGGCTCACCGAGAAGGCGGGGGCACGCGCGGACGGATGGGAAGTGTGTGAGGGGAGGGCCTCACCGCTCCCCAGAGAAAAGGGATACCGCCTACAAGTTGGCTCGGAGCTAGTCCAAGTCAGCTGACCTGCCAGGAATAAAGATGGCCGCAGCGCTGGGCCTCCCTACTTGAAGCCTCTTCAGACGCCACGCTGCCAGGCCTCTGGGCTCCCCCACCCCCGAGACTGGATGCCAATCAAAACTTCGGCTCCGCCTCTCTACCTCTAATTGGTGACCACGCCCTCTCGGGCTTTGTGATTGGCTGATCACTACAGTTGGCGTGAGGCGGCTTCGTAGAAAGTAACCACATCCTGGCGGGGGAAATTAAGTTGTGACTGTCGGCTGGCTCTGTGGTTGATGTCAATCAGTTGTTATTTCTCCAGCTCCACCGAAACTCAGCTTCTCTATGGAGAACAGTTGAAGCGCTCAGCTTTTAACTAAAGTTTCCCTAAGCCTGCTTAGCGTCCTCCTCAGGAGTAACCTAGGGCAGTGATGATGGACCGGAGAGAGTTGCAGCTAAGCTAACAGACTGGGCTGAGAGGTCTTGTGCCCCCGACTTTAGCCAAGGGCCATTGGAGTGAGCTTCGTCGGTGTCCCACCCGGCCAGATAGGAGACAGTTTGGATACATCCCACTTTCTGCCTCAAGCCAGGCAGAACTGCTTGTCGGGAACTTCTGGTTCTTTGGTTCCACCGGCTAAGTCCCAGGCCAGGTGCTTTGGGAGAATGAGCAGAGACAAAAATATGTCAGTGGTAGATCGTGCATTAAAGGAGCTTTCAGACAGGTAGAGTGCCACAAACAACTCTTGGAAAGAAAGGAATGCTCCAAGAGAAAAATTGGAAAACGCTTTCTTGATGGGAAGATCAACTCAGGGTGTTAGAAATGGCCGACAACGCAAAAGCGCAAGCTGATGGCCTCTCCCCTGCAGCTGTTTTCAGAGCTGTGTTACTGAAGCTAGATGCCACCTCTCCTTTACTCAGACCAGTCCTTAGTTTCACCTCAGTGGGCATTCATTTCTGAGGGATCCTGAAGTATGAGAAATGGCCCTACCCCTATACAGCCAGTTTACAACCTACAAAGAAGAAGAATATATGTGAAACAAGTCAAGATAGAACACAGGGGACTTCCCTGGTGATCCTTTGGCTAAGAGGCCACACTCCCAATGCAGGGGGCCTGGGTTCCATCCCTGGTGGGGGAATTAGATCCCACATGTCTCAAGTAAATTGTTCTGTGAGCAACTAGAAGATCTCTCATGCCCCAACTAAGATTCAGCCCAGTCAAATAATAGATTAAAAAAAAGAGAACACAGGTGAGTACTAAATTGTGGTATGCCATCCAAGACTTTTAGATGCATTCAGAAAAGATAATCTAATGGAGAAAGAAGTATTTAGGAAAGCCTCATCGGAAAGCTGGGGTTTTGTGGAGTTGGCTGGGGGAGGGAGAATAGCATCCTAGGAGGAGAAGCAGATTGATAAGAGTTAGGCATGGGTGTGGGTTGTGAGAAAGAGAAAAACAGCTCTTTGAGCTTCTCTGGTGGCTCAGTGGTAGAATCTGCCTGCCAATGCAGGAGACACAGGTTCCATCCTGATCAGGGAGGATCCTGCATGCTGCAACTACTGAAGCCTGAGTGCGCTAGAGCCCATGCTCCACAACAAGAGAAGCCACCTCAATGAGAAGCCTGCACATTGCAAGAAAGAGTGGTCCTTGCTCATCACAGGTAGAGAAAAGCCTGTACAGCAATGAAGACTCAGCACAGCCAGAGATAAGTAAAATTATTAAAAAAAAAAAAAAAAGCAGCTGCTGGCATCTGGAAGCCGAACTAGTACTATTATCTAGGCTTTAGTCATCTGTTGAAATAATTTGGAAAAATATCAGCACAGACAGACAAGGCCATTCTATAATTATGGTGTGTGTGTGTGCACGTGGACACACGCTCAATTGTGTCCAACTCTTTGTGACCCCATGGACTGTAGCCCACCAGGCTCTTCTGTCCATGGACTTTTCTAGACAAGAATACTGGAGTGGGTTATTTCCTTCTTCAGGAGATCTTCCTGACCCAGGGATTGAACTCACGTTTCTTGTGTCTCTGCATTGTGGAAAAGCCAAAGAATCCACCGGCTAATGCAGGAGACACGGGTTGGATCCCTGGTCCCGGAAGATCCCACATACCTCAAAGCAACTAAGCCTCTGCGCCACAACTACTGAGCCTGTGTAATCTTGATAGATCAACACAAAAAGATAATCACTGATGTCTGAATACAGACAGACGTATGAACACTGTCCAAACCACAGAAACGACCCAAACATTCCCCTATTATTTTGGCTAATATGAATGACTGCAGATTCTTTGCTAATCACAGCTTTAGCTTTGCTTCATTCTTATTGATATGCGATCATAGAACCATTCCTGTGTCCTGACAGCCTCCAATCCAGAGCAAAGGCCCACTTCTCTGAGCCCTTATCCAAACCATCTGGTTGAGCAGAGCAGCATGAAGCATCTAAGTTCCCCAACCAGGGATTGAACCTGGGCCCTTGGCAATGAGAACACGGAGTCCTAACCATTGGACAACCAGGGAATTTCTTCCTGTTTCTATCTAACACCTTCTTTCAGAGATGTCCCGCCCTTCCCCATGGTATGCATCCTCTGTTGCAATGGCAGTAGACCCAGAGTTCAACTCCATGCATGTCCCTAATGGTATTTGGCTTGGGGGCATGAACATTCATGAGCAGGATAGGAGGCAGCTTGCAGAGGAGAAAACTGATCATGTTAAAGATCTGTGCAGGGACTTCCCTGGTGGTCTAGTGGCTAAGAGTCCGTGCTCCCGACGCAGGGGGCCCAGGTTCAATCCCTGGTCAAGAAATAAGAGTTTGCGTGCCACAATGAAGATCCCGAGTGCCCCAACTAGGACCTGGCACAGCCAAGTAAATATAAAAAATAAGTCAATAAAGGATTGTGGAAAGTGAGAGAGGTCAGATAAAGGGGGAGGTGGTATGGTAAGCCGAAGAATTCATTCTACTGACATTTATCAAAACCCACACTGTTCCTGGCATTATTCCAGTCAAAAAGAATGCTGAAGTGAAAAAAATGCTTTATTCCCCCATGGAGTATGACTTTTAATCAACAAATAAACATACAACTAGAGTATTGTGTGATAAGCTGGGTGAGAGAGGAAGCACTGGATTCATGTGGGGTAGGGGGCACAGAAAAAGGGCTCTTGAACTCATTTCAGAGTGGAGTACATAAGGGTCAGTGTTGGGACTTACCTGGCAGCGTTCCGGTGGTTAAGACTCAATGCCCCCAGTGTAGGGGGCGTGGGTTCGATCCCCCGTTGGGGAATAAGATCGCACATGCTTTGTGGGCGTGGCCAGAAAGTGTTGACTAATCGAACAAACAGAGTCAAGGAAATCTTCCCAGAGAAGGTGACACTTAAGGTAAATCTTGAGAGGAAACTGAGGGAGGGGAGATGGGGAGAACCTTCCAGGCAGAAGGAGTAGGAAACAGAAAGGCAGGGAGGTAACTGTTAGCCATAATGGATTCATGAGCAAAGGGAATGTCCTACTTAATACCAGATTTTCCTACAATCTTTGTTTAGGACTGAGGAGTCTTCCATGGTGGATATAAAACAACAACAAACAAACCTCATGTGAGCGGTGAAAACCTACCTTGCACATACCAGTGAAGCACCTTGCCTCAGGTCGTGTGTGATGGGCCATTCTTACCCTGAGTTTTGTTGTTTCACGAGGGACTTGATCCATTCCCATCTGATGAACCATTGGGTGCACAGCGGACAAAACTATTTAATACATATTTTTGATGCAGCTAATCTCATAATGGGGTGAATGGTACAGCATTGCTCTGGTTTCATGCCATGGAGAGGTTGTGCCGTGAAACCCCATTTACAGATGTTTGGGTTCTATCTGTGACACTACTTTTGACGTAAGGCATCACAAGGCAATTCATTCAAAAGCTGCTGGTGGTAGCAAATCAAGGCCTCGTGTTCACACTGGAAGCCTGGCAGACCGTGAGCGTGGCCCTAAATAATGCCAGTTTCTTTGATCTGCAAAACAATGTGTGGCTTAGGTGTTTTCTGGAACAAATAATATAGCACGGTGGAGAGAGCACTGTGCTGAGATTGTGTGTGTGGTCTTGGAGCTGTCATTTCGCTTCTCTGGGCCTTAGTGGCCTCATGATCTAATGAAAGGGAAAGAGGAGGCGGGTCTCTCAGATCCTTTTTGATTTTAAAATCTGTGATCCTGTGACTGACTTGCTGTTAAAGCTGCGGAAACCAGGGACTGCTTTCAACTCTGGTCTCCCTGTGGGAAGTTTCCATCGAGTCGGGGTTATTGTCCTATTGCAGGCTGATACATGACTCCGATTCTGATCAAGCTGTCTGTGGATCCAAACACTCCGCTGAGTCTGCAAAACCATCCATAATCCACACGGATGGCGTGTGCAGGCTTCCCACACACATTTACTGTGTCCAGTGGTTTGCAAATAACAGCCTCAAGGATTTGGCAGCATTTGCAGGAAACTGAAGTTTAAATTCCTCCTAAAGGACTGGAGACAGACTGAATACAGCATCCAGGGTCCTCATTACTTGGCATCTCCAATACATATTTAACTCCCCAAATATGAATAGATTTGTACTAATGTGAAGTGAAGGCATGACTCCCACTTTCTGGGAACAGCATCAGTTTTCAAAAATATAATAATTTGGGGTAGCTTTGGGAGTGTCAGACAGCTGTGTAAATACCCCCAAACCCTACTTTCTCTCTCTGCTGTGGGGGATGAAGCACCATCCACACACTAAATCAATATCCTGTCATGAA